TAAAGGAAGCAGTATTCTTAATGATGAAGATGTTTAACTAAAAGTAACATCATATTTGTGACAAGATAAATTTGATATGACCATTACCAATTTTGTGATTATATCTTTAATGAAATTTTACTTTCTATTAGAATAGAAAAAAAAATAAAATTAGGTAAACTATATTTACTATATTATATTTTATAAATTATTTAATAAATTATTTTATTAAAATTTTTAAATATATTTTTATAACAAAAAATCAGCAATTTGATGGTTAAAAAAAATGGTATTTATATATAGCCAGTATACAAAAAGAATGTATATTGATGGTCATGAGAGAGATAATATTGTGACTTATCAAAAAGAATTTCTTAAACTATGGTTAAGTAATAAATTTATTTTTAATTTATGTTTTAATTTATTTATATTATAATTTTATATTTACATTTATGCATATAATTTTATAGCTATCAAAATTTAATGCTAAAATTTATTGGTAATGAATTTGAAATTAGAATTAATCCTAATTTAGAAGATAAATAAAAAAAATATATTCTTATTACCCATGATGAAACAACTTTTCAATCAAATGATAAAAAAAAATCAGGTTGAAGATTTAAAAATGAACAACTTTTATGAAAAAAAGAATAAGGAAGAATAATTCATGCTAGTGATTTTTTGACTAATACAATTAGAAGATTAAAAATAAATGAAGAAGAAATTAATAATACCATTTCAAGTGAAGCTTGTGTTATAATCAATCCTGGAAAAAATTTTAATGGATAATAGAATGTTGATCAATTAATTGATCAGATATTTTATTATAATAATTAATATAAATTAAAATTATTAAATTTAATTATTAATTAAATAAAATTTTTTATTTTTTAGATTAAAATTAGAGCTATACCAATTTTTGAAAAAACACATCCAGACATGATAGTTGTATTTGCCTTTGATAATTCTTCTAATCATGCAAAATTAGCTAATGATACTCTTAATGCAATGAATATGAATCTTAATCCTGATGGTAAATAGCCAATTATGTGTAATATAATATTTAATGGTCAAATTCAAACTATGGTATTTCTTTTTGATTATTCTAATGAAATACTTTGTGAAAAACCTAAAGGAATGAAAGTAATTTTACAAGAGTATGATCTATGGGAATTAGGATTAAAAGGATTCTATGTTAATAAAGAAGCATAATTAAAAAATCCAAATATTATGCACATTATATTTTGGCCATTCAGGAGGATTTTCTTAATCAAAAACTATTATTGTAAGAAATTATTGAAGGATTAGGACATAAAGTAATATTTTATCCAAAATTTCACTGTGAACTTAACTATATTAAAATGTATTAGGGAACTGCAAAATAATATATCAAACAACATTATAATTATACATAGAAAGGATTATAAAAAACTATTTTAGATGTATTAGAATCAGTTTCTTTAAGTCAAATACGTAAATATACTAATAAATCAGCAAAATTTATGAAATGTTATCAAAAAAGATTAACTGGTTTACAAGCTAAATATGTTTTAAAAAAAATATAAATCACATTGAGTTGTTCCAGATTTTATTTTGAAAATATTGATGAATTAATAAATGAAATTTACTGTATACTTCTGAAATTAAGCATCCTCTAAAATTAAGCATTCCTATATTTATATATATACTAAAAATAAGTATCCTCTGAAAATTGATTTATTTTATATTATTTAAGTATTAACATATAATAATTATGGTTTAATTAAACTTTATTAATAGATTTTTATCATTTTAATTATTCATTTATCATCACTAATTATCATCCCTTATATCATCTTCCAAATCATTATCACTTATATCATTCTCACTACTATTATTCTTCAAATCATCCTCCAAATTATCATTGCTAATAATTTCTAAATTACTATTATTTTCTTTATCAGAATCTTCTATATCATTCAAGGTATTTGAAATACCATAAATTTTAAAGGATTCTATAATAATTTCATTAAAGATTTCTTCTTAAGAACGTTTTACCCATCTATATACATTACTAAGTTTAACACGTCTAAGATTATCTGCTACCGTCTTTTTAGCACCTTTAGCAGCTATTCAAAAGTACCATTTTTTACATAATTTGTCTTTAAATAGTTTATTTATTGCTATATCAAATAGTTGACAGAGACTTATCAAACCACCTGATATAACGGCTAAATCTATTCCATAATTGTAGAATTTTTCTTTTACAGATTTCTCTAAGTATCCTTGAAAAGAATCATAAACTATTAATATTAGAGCCCTGGATCTGCTAATAACCTCTATGTCTTTAAGGTAATCAATATACTGTTTTATCAATCCAGTATCCATCCACTCATTTTTCTAGAACTAAACGATTACACTAGGAGGTATTTATTTACCTTTTAATAATCACTTCCCTTTAAAGATGCAGATCAAAGAAAGCTTTGTTACATATACAATAAAAAGAATTACAGTTGTTAAATAAAATTAAAAAAATATATGTTGAAGATCAAAATCATCTTTAAAATTTTTTGAAAATCAAAAATATCATTGAAAATCAGTTAGATTATTGAAAACAAAAAAAATAAAATCAAAAATATCAAACCCCCATAAAAATCGTCAAAAGAAACTACAACTTTAACCTCTAAAACTCTCAGTTTCAGTCAAAGAAAGAAAACTTATTGGATAATTTTTAAAAGTGTGTGAGAAATTGAAAAAAAATCTGCTAGCAGCTATTTAAGAAGTGATGGTAAAAAGTATTTAGGTCTCAAAAGTAAACCTCTTAAAACTTAAAATTGAAACCTTAAACCTAAAAATTGCCTAAAAATCAGAATCTTAAACTTAAAAATCGTCTAAAAAATAAAATTATGAAACATCATGAAAACTCAAAATCAGAATCATTAAAATTCTAAATGTTAATACAGTTCTCATGAAATTAAAAAAATTGTTTAACCTACCTGTGGCACATGTTAAAACCACTGTAAATCAGTTTTTTTTATTGCCAATGCTGTGAATTTGAACTGTTTTCTCTCCCTTTAGATTAATAATAAAATTTTCTGTCATATTAAACCACACCAGAGTTTCATTCATGTTAAAAATGTTGCATAATTCAAAGGATTTTTCAGTTTTCAGGTAAATAATAAATTGACAAAAATTGGCTAATAATTCTTTCATTTAGTTTGAAAGCTTTTGGAAAATTTTCATACATTGCCGTCAAGACAACTTATATCTTTTCATAAAGGAGGATAGCCATTGATCTGACATTTTAAAATCTTTTGCTGAATTACCATACAAACCTATCATTTCAGGTTCTTTTAAAATATCTTATATTTTAATTCGTAAGAGTGTATAAGTAACAGCTATTCCTTGCTTTTTTTGTTTAATAAGCCAAGCATACAACTTATTTTCAGCCTCAGAATAGAAGGCTTTTTGACCTGAGCCAATTCGTTTACTGTTTTAGTTTATTTCAGTATTCCAAGTTTTACTTGCTTTAACCCAACGGCCTACTATACTAGTGTCAAGTTGAAAGTGCCTTGCCGCTTTGTTTTATCTGTGCTGCTTAGCGTAAGTGATAACTTAATTTTTCTGGTCAATGGAATATAAAGAACAGTTATGTTTGACAGGTTTATTATGTACAACTTTTGTGCGTTTTTTTAGCATTTTTTTGTGAGAGTTTAAAACAGGTTTCAAAACGTGTATTGTGTAAATTTCGTGTTATAAAATCATTTGGTTGCACAATATCATCAGATCATCTAATGATTATCATTTTGTGCAGTTTCAAATATCATTTTGGCGACGCAATTTTGAAGAAAAGTAATCTTTTACAAAACCACCTGAAATTAAGTACCCCTATAGTAAAAAGGGGGTGCTTAATTTCAAAAGTATACGGTAATATATGTTATGTGGTTTGATTTTTAGCCAATTAAATTTGATATTATAAGTGTCACGTGATTTTTTAATAAAATTTCAAAATTGAAATACTTGATGTCTTAAATAAGATTTTATTATAGTTTTGTATGTACACGTGTCTAAAACTATATTAGTTTATTGCAAATGTTCAGATTTTTTTGCTTATTGTTTTAAAATTTAATAAAAACTTTATTTAGTAAAATAAAAATTTAAGAGGCGTTATTAGGACAATTTTATTTTCTATTATACATGAATTAATAACTTCTGGAAAAATTATTGTTAAATCAGAATATATATACTGTATATCATATAAAGTAAGTTTTAAAGAAAATTTTATAAGAATATTTCTTATTAAAACTATATTATATAATTTTTATAAAGAAAATACGCAAATCTTTAATAATATTAGTTATTTATAATATATTTTTTAAGTATTATTATTAAATCTCAATAGTTACCGCGGCTCCTTGTATAAGTTCAGATATGACTTAAATATAAATATATATTATTTTTGCATAAAATCATTATCGATAATAATGTTTTCTATTCATAAACTTAACTCATACTCATTATCATTATCTTAAAAAGCTTAAGGAAAATACAAAAATCTGCTTGTATAAAAAACTTCAGAATGGATATTATGTTGATCAAAGTTGCTTTTTTTCAATATGAAAGCTATTACACCATGGTCAGAAAGTGTCCACATGATCATTCCAAAACTATAAACGTCTGTGGCCACTTTTAAAGGTATTCCTTGCAAGATTTCGGTTGCAATATAAGGAAGAACTCCAGAAATTTCATTTGAACTTTTCTTATTAATTAAATCTGGGGTATCAATTATTTTCAAACGATTTAACTTCAACCAATATGTTGCCTCCATGAAGATTTCCATGAATTGATCCCTTTTTCGTAATAATGTACAATTTCTTGCAAAAGCATTATAACCATGTCTCACAGACAAAGTATTTCTTGGGTTTCATCAAGAAATGAATTTAATTCTCTATTTTAATAGTATTCACATTATTTCATAACTAGAATGTAATTTGAAATAGGATCGCATTTAATTATAAAATTATCAACATCACTTGTCCAGTTTATAAAACTTTCTTTAAAGGCATTGTATTTACATCCTTTGCACCATCTTGCATTACTTTGTTCCTTTCCACAATTAAAGCAATTTCCAAATTCCTAATCCATGTTTTGAGTAGGTGATTTTTTAACCTGTGAAATTTATAAAAAAGGACAATTTCTGATCACATGACAAGAGATCCTGCTAAGGCAAATTATATTTTACTATGATAAGTAAGAATATATTCGCCATACTAGCTAGCATGGAACGATCGTTACAATTGTTCCAGTGTATTGGAGGAAGCTCTGCCGATAAGACGTTTAATTAATTAGATTATACATTTTATTGATTATGATAGAAAATCTAATGGGGAATTGTGCACAATAACTTATAAATATAATTCGAAAATTTAAAATGACACTTCTACGAAAGGTGCACGAAATAATTTTGTCCTCTTATTTTTTTATGAAGTAAAAAATTTTTTTTTTTTTTTTTAGAATATATTAGAAAGATGAGCGAGTGAATATGAGCTTAGTTAATTGTGAAAACAAACTATTTGAATGAATAAGTAAATTCAACATAAAGGTTCATCCTTTAAAAAACATTTTTAAGTAAATTTTTTTTGTTTTTGTAAACTGTACTGTATACAATATGTTTATGAATCAACATATACAAGGAGACTAACACTGTTCAGATGAATAAAAATTAATTTCGGACAAGAATTATTGAAAAAGTCCCCGCTGAAAGTAATGGCGGTAGGGATATTTTATCATTTTTAGCCGCAGCAATTATTTTAAAAATGAGCAATAAAATAAATAGATTACTGAAAACAACTTTTTTACTAACTGAAACCACAATGCCATCGACATCTAATAAAGCGAATCGTGAAACGTAAAGTTCCTTTATGACGAAAATACACGAAGTGCAAAGGAAATTTCCAGCCGAACTGGGAAGATATGTTGCAATATTCTGAAATTCATCGATCTGGGGTCGACCATGATATTAATTCCCAAAAAACGCCGCCATAATAATTAACTGATTACTAGCATGCAGAATCGAATTCAATCCTGTAGACTTTGAAGAGAATTGCAGAAACTCAATGCTTCAGAAAAAATAATCTTTGCTACATTGAACCCGGAGAATACCGTAATACGATAAAGCATTGGTATAAAAATGCAGGCCAGTTCGTCAAATGCCAAAGCACCAAAGTAAAATATTCGCCTGGGTGGCTTTGTATAAAGGTACCTCCAGTCTTTTGTATTTTTGCGTATATTGGACGAAAAATTCTATACGGAAATATTAGAAAAGCAACTCCAAGTTCGCAGTATTTTACGAGGTAGATGACGGCTGCAACAGGAAGCATACTAGTCTTATTGCTAAGACTTCCTAGATATTAATGTCCCGATTGGCCCTCAGGCTGAAAACCTGAGCAATTGTTAAAAGGAACGTGGAGTTGTGTAGGCCAAAATTATGTTAGCGAATGAGAGCGTTTTTGGGGAGTGGGGAAAATTCCAAATTAATCTTGCAAACTCAATGACACAGCGTTGTAAGGAGGTAAGTGGTGAACAAATATAATATTAATTTTTTTTCTTAGCCTTAAATGACATATTGTACGCTTGTTTTTAACTATCGCAATTTTAAAAATTGTCTAATTTTTTTTTTTTTTGACCAAGTGACATTGTCAAATTAAATCGAACTATACCTATGTATATTATAGATTTTTTTTAGTAATCTTCTTTTTTGTCTAGCATTATTTGTAGAAGTTTCTAATTTGTGATTACTAATAATTTCAATTTTTGGTTAGTTCTGTTGCTAGAATAAAAAAATTTTTCTTAATTCGAAACCGGTGTTGTGACTTCGTCTGAAGTTGGAACTCGCGTCTTAAATTGAGATTCCAATTTCAGACACCCTTTTTTGTTATCTGAATTCCAACTTCAAACAACTTATAAAAAAAACTATTTTAATAATTCACAATATGCCAATTTTTTTTTTTTACTATTTCGTAAATACAGTTAACTTTAAAAATTTATATTTTAGACTTTTAGCTTTTAGCAGCATTAAATTTCCAATATTTTTTTTTTTTTTTTTAATTTTTTAATTTTTTTTATTTTTATTAGTTTATCCGCAAATTATAAGTTTATTTTATTATTTTTTTTTTTAGTTTATTTTATTTCTATTTTATTTTTATGCAGGTTCGGGTGCTGCGTCAGTTAAATAAGAGATTTTATTCATTTCCGTTTTCATCTATTTTTTCAGTTTTTTTTTTTTTTTTTTTAAAAACTTCAGACCAAAGTGATCCAACCTGAAAAGCAAAAAATAATCATTCAATTAGAAGTACATATTAAAAACATTCACTTTTTTTTAATTCTTTTAAACAGCAGAAAGCAAATAGAAAAGGAACTCCTACCTTTACGAGTTACCTGTATAATTATTCTATTTTGAAGCTGAGGCGAATTTTAAAATAAAATTAACTTTTTTTCAAATTTTAATTATAGAGAAAAGGAGAAAAGGATCATTATTATAATATAGTAGAGAAAAATAAATAAAAGAAACAATTAAAAATCATTAATTAAAATAAATTGTTTATGTACAGTACATGATAATAGACTTTTCTCAGTGACTATCACTTCATCACATGAACAAAGAGGTTTTATAACGAAATAGGTTAAAAAAAGAGGGAGTTGTACATACATCTGAACCGAAAATCATCGTATGATGTATTAAAATCTCCTCTTTACAAAAAAAAAAAAATTACCAAACATCTAATATGGAAATGAATTTCCAAAGATTATTACGAAATAATTGATTGTTTTATTATTGTTTTCAATGTAACAATTATTGAAGTACATATTAATCATCAAATATGGGATTACAAACTGAATGAACCCAATCAATAAATCAAATTAATCCATATTAAAATTTTTCTCTTGTGCCTAATTAAGGAAAATTCGTCTCCCATAACCGATAACTGCTGAAATAAATTAAAAAAAAAATTCAACGTTTTTGGTGCTCATTTGCTTTACTTTCTCCTTGGAGTACATTTTTTCTTTTTTTTTACAAACATTAAACTTCGTCAAGTATCATAACATGGATCGGGTATACCAAAAAAAATACAGAGATAATTTAAATCTTTTGGTGGCAAATTGCAACATTTTGTTGGTGACATACATTATGAAATCTTTACTATTCTTTTGAAAATATTAAGATGAAAAACGTTATCATGTCGAATTCATCCGATTTACAAAAAAATTACAATGAAGTCCTTTTTCTTGATCCACAATCTTTTAATCAATCATTCGCCTTTTACACATAAATTTGGGTAAATTATAAGGCTACACACAACGGATTTTTTTTATATAAAAATTTGGGTCGTTTTGCTATTAAAAAAAAAGTTACAAAACATAATAATCCAAACATGATTTTGCAAACCTCCCATTTATTATCTCTCTGACCAAATACTTTCATAACTTCATGAAAACAATGAAATACTAGTTACGTTCTATACGTCATGATTACTAGAGAAGAGTCACGTACGACCGTTGAATCCAACGGTCAAAAGAGGAAGGCCTAGAGTCCAGCCGGCCCAGAGAGGAGGAATTGAATAAGGTATAAAAAATTAAAATTGTTTTTCGTCCTTTTTTGTTGGTGAAAGAATAATCTTTTTTTCAGTATGTTTTTAAATTTTTATTTCAATATTACGAAGGTTGTTCTTGTAGGATTTAAACTATTTTGTTGACTGGTGATTAATGATCGACTGACCGTGACCGATTGAAAATGAAAAAAAAAAAAAAAGAATATTATGATTATTGTGACTCGAATACTTTTTATCAATTAAAATTTAAAAAAAAATTTTTTTTACTTTTTTTAGTATACATTTAAAATTAATCCATATATATATGAGTGAAAAAATGTAAATGTAAATATAAATGAACAAATGAACGAATAAACATGTGAATGATCAAACAATAAAGTAGTTTTAATAAAATATAAAACATGTAACAATTCTTTTTCAGATTCATACACGCCTGTACGTCTTCTGGGCTAGGGATTGAAATCGATTTCGATATTTAGAATCGATTTTAGAATAGTGTTAAGGTTGGATTATTTATAAAAAAACATCAATAGATTGTATTACTTATTTTAAATTTTGATATGCTAAAACTTTAAAAAAATTATTTCATGTCATGTTAGCTACCCCCTGGACATCACCCGGGTAAAACCACTAGTTTAATGATAATAATTTATCGAAAAAAAATTTACATTCGTTCATATATTATGTAACTAAACTAGATTAGCAGCGACTTCGTCACCACTAGGTATGGTATTTATACTTCTTTCTTAATATTTAGTTTTGATATATCCTTTATTAAGTTATAAATAAAATGATATTGCATCTGTGATAAAAATGAGATTATTGCTTAAATAAATAATTTATTAAATTTTTTTTATTAATTTAATATGTATTACACAAATACATATACGCAATAATTAATGTTTAAAAGAAAGATAGAAACATTCACGCTGTCGTGACAAGCTGATAGGTCCATCCGAATTTCCGCATGAAAATATTTCGGTATCTCGTAATAAACTAATTTTTCACAAAATTTCAAAATTTGCAATCCTTATTATTTGTCAATACTTTAATCTCATTCCATATAACTGCGTATTCCTATATGAACTTTTTTGAAAAATAAAATAATGGAGCAACCTTTACACCATTCCTAAATATTTGTGTGAAAAAATCTGTATTTCCGGTTATCCTTTTTATTTTCATCTAATGTACCTTCGATGAGTTTGATCTATGTGGATTGAAAAAGGTTACTCTCAACCTTCGAATTTTTGTTGAAATTTAGTTGATATATAGATATTATAAATATTATAGGTTTGAAATACTTAACGATCTCTCTAGTCTCAAATTGATGAATCTGAATCTTTCTCAAATAATTTTTTATTTATAAAACAAGACAAACAGCGATTATTACAAGTACCAAGCATTAATGATATGCATTATAAAGCTAAACCCTCTTGGGCGTCACGACCATGAATAGTATAGCACGAGTTAAAGATTTTTGATTTCCTAAATCCATAACCGTCCCATATTGATATGATCGTTTCTCATATACATGCTGAATTTTTAAATAAAGTTGGTTAAAATTGATTTCAAAGATTGATCGCTATCGTTGTTTTTAAATATCTAAAATGAATGAAAAGAATTTTTGAATTTTTCTTTTTCTTTTTTTTTATGTTTATTAATATTTTTTTTTTTTATTTTTTTAGGTTCGATCGGTTTCTCCACTTTGGCTAAGAACTGGATGGAACCTTTGAACTGAACCGACCGGTTTGTCACCGCAGCGAAGGTAATCTGACTTGAATTTTTTTTTTTATTTTTTTATTTTTTAATAAATTATTATTTTAATATTTTTATTTATTTTTTTTTCTATTTATTTAGGTTCTTCTCTTTGGCTAGGAACCTTCAACCTAAACCAACCGGTTCGTCACTACGGCAAAGGTAAGCTGACTCGAGAATTTTTTTTATTTTTTAATATTATTATTATTTTAATATTTTTATTTATTTTTTTTATTTATTTAGGCTCTTCTCTTAGGCTAAGAACTGGACGGAACCTTCGACTGGAACTGACCAGTTCGTCACCGTGGCGAAGGTAAGCTAATTTTTTTGATTTATTGTTTTATTTCTTTTCTTATTTTGGTATCGGATGAAACAGGATTTTCGTTACCGCAGTATATGTTTTTGACGAATTCTTTCATTATTTTAATTAGTAATCGTAATCATTCAGTCCCTAAAAAAAATCATATATAAACAACCGTTATTCCTATTAATATTAATATTAATATATTAATATTGAAATTGATATAGATATAGATATTGATATTGATATCAATATAAATAAAAACGGTCCCTGTAGTTCCTGCATGAAGCTAACCAAATTCCTTCCTTTTTTGGAATAGCTATAGTTTTCACTATATAAAGTAGAATCACCTGATACCAACATCTATATGGCATAAACTGTATATAGTGTTAAATAGCTGCAAAAAATAATTATATTAAGGGAATGTATAATTTAGCTTTTTGTTATAAATATGGTGAAGGAACTGATATTGATTTAGAAAAAGCATTTTATTGGTATCAAAAATCTGTAAAAAATGAAAATATTAATGCAATATTTAATTTAGCTTTATGCTATAAAAATAGTAAAAGAACTGATATAGATTTAGAAAAGGCATTTTATTGGTATCAAAAAGCTGCAAAAAATAATAACAAAGTTGCACAATATAATTTAGATAATTATTATTATTATGTTATGGAATATTTATTATAAAAGATGTTAATAAATTATTTGATAG